TCCCACTACTAGTAAATACTATCATTTTACGAAAAGAAAATCTGTCGTCGGTGGAATTGAAAAATATTTACATTAAAATTTATGTAGGTTTGGAGGTAGTTTTCCCTTCCAGTACCTTTTCTTGATTTTTGTAAAAGTCAAATGTTAAAGCGCTTAGAAGACATAGGCACTCCAACTCTCATTCAAATCGGCAAAACGGTTCTTAACATATCTTAAAAAATGCTTTTATTTTTTAAAGCTTGATGCCCTCTAGCGGACAAACAGAGCACTTTCTTACACAATTTACCTTTAAATTGTGCTCAATAAACTTATTTTGATTCCAAAAGTACGTAGTAGTTCTATGATCGCGGAATATTTTGACATCCTGTATATAAGATATTCAGTGGACTTTGCCGGTTATTGAGTATTCGCGATTCACCTTCTCATACAACTTACAGGAAGTCAGAGGAACAGTCTCGATAGTCCATATAAACTTAACTTTGATGGAGATCAAAATCCTACTTCTTACGTAGCATAGGATAAACGAATATCTAAGTAGGTATGCAGAGTTTTATATAAATGATCAAAAGTCGATTGGCCTCTCTAAAGACTAGGATATTGTATTACTAGTCTAAGAGCTAGCAACGTTTTCGAGAAAGGATTTTAAGACGTCTGGCTCTTTGATATATCTTTTACTATGCTCTCTGGAACAGCATGCGGCCCGTCTGGCTGCCGATACCCGTTGCGTTCACTACTGCGCATCGGAAGAAGATCCTATGTTTTTATTAATTTAGTCCTATAAGTTCTAGTATTGAATATAAATCGAACATGTCTCCATAGCGCAGTGCGTAGAGTTTCCGACCACGAACCGATGATTCAGAGTTCGAATCCGGGTCAGGTCAAAGACTTTTTCATTTTATTTTCGTTTATATTCTTATAGTAAAGTATTAAATAATTCTGATAATTCTTCTTCATCGAGTGCCATGTCCTCAACGAACGTTGGCTATCATATTGGCTATTATAATTTTGTTGGCAGCAGCCCTAAAGAGTGCTGCATTTGATTTTTGGAACCAATCCCGCAAATTTCGAAGCCACAATGTGCGTCTACGACCAGGTCCTCTCTTACCCTCTATTTTACCTTGCATAATCAAATGGAGGACGTTGTATCGTTCAGGGTGTTGAATAACGTGCGCAAAATATTCTAACTTCCGGATCTTGATGTTTTTATTTATTTCGGGTTGTTTGGACAAGCGACTCAAAACTTCCTCATTACGAACCTTGTCAACCCAACTTATCCGCAACAATCTCCTATACACCCACATTTCAAAAGCCTGGAGTTTCTTTAGCAATGTCTCTGTGAGTGTCCAACTTTCCGCCCCATAAAGTAAAGTGGAAAATATGTAGCATCTTGTAAGTCTTAACTTTAGTTCTATGTTAATATTTCGACTACATAACACTTTCTTCATCCGATAGAATACCGATCTAGCTTTCTCTATACGTTGCTTGATTTCCTTGCTCATATCCCAATCGTTATTAATGTTAGAGCCCAAGTAGGTGATATTATCAACTTGCTCAAGGTCGACTCCATAAGCTGTTATTGGTATCGGATTTATAGGATGTTTACTAACGGTCATAAGCTTAGTCTTTTGAGTGTTAAGTTTTAACCCATACTCATCGCATGTACTTGTAACTCTATCCAACAGCAACTGCAGTTCTTCCGGACTACTGGCTAACAAAACGGTATCGTCAGCATATTTTAAGTTGTTGACATTAACTCCATTCACTTTGACACCGCCATCGATTTCCTCGAGCGCCTCCCTGAAGATGAATTCAGAGTAAAGATTAAAAAGTAGTGGCGACATAATGCATCCCTGTCGCACACCTCTACGGATTGCTATTGTTTCCGAGGTATTTTTGCCAATTTTAACACTTGCCTGCTGATTCCAATAAAGGTTTCTAATTATTTGGAGATCCTTATCATCAATGCCCACTTCCCGTAAAATCGCAACCAATTTATCATGTTTTACCCTGTCAAATGCTTTTTCGAAATCAATAAAGCACATAAAGACAGGGTGATCGACATCTCTGCATCTTTGAACAAGGACTTGGATGCAAAAAAGTGCTTCTCTAGTTCCAAGATTGTTGCGGAATCCGAACTGTGTCTCGCTAATTTGTTCCTCTATTTTGGCATATACTCTTGAATGTATAATTCGAAGGAAAATTTTTAGGACGTGGCTCATTAAACTGATAGTTCTGTAATCAGAGCACTTCCTAGAGTTTCCCTTTTTGGGGATCATTACGAATGTTGACTTGATCCAGTCAGTTGGTATAACTCCGGATTCGTATATTTTGTTAAAAAGCGATAGTAGCGACTGTTTTCCTTTAATATCGAGACATTTGAGTATTTCCGATGGTATTTCATCCGGACCCGTTGCCTTTCTATTTTTTGCTGTTTTTATAGCCTTCTCTAGTTCACCCATTGTTATCATAGGGCCTGTATTACATTGTTGTATCACATTTTCTATTCTCTCGTCATCAAACAATTCTTCGATGTACTCTTTCCATCTTCTCAGTTTATCAATGTCATTTACAATGAGATTACCATCCTTGTCAACAAGGTTATGAGTTCTGTTGGTATTCACACCCGTTAACTCTTTAACCCTCTTATGTAAGTTGAAGGTATCATGTCTCTTCTGTAACTCTTCAACCTCCTTACATTGATTCACAAACCATGCCTCTTTTGCCGCTCGTATTTTCTTCCGAATTTCTTTATTAATAAGTTGGTACTTTTGTTGGTCTTGATTTTTAAATGATCTTCTTTCCTCCATTAGGTGCAGAATATCGTCATTCATCCAATTCTGTTTCTTCTGTTGGGCTATAGGTATATTAGATGTTGTTTCTGATACTATATTTTTAAACTTATTCCAGTGGTCTTCAATGTTGCAGTCAAGTATTTTTTCCTCACACTTATTTTCCAGAGTGTTCATAATTACCTCGTGATTGTCCCGTATATAGTCGACATTTAACTTTTTTGACGGTTGTTTTCTTTCGACTTTCTTTAATCTGAGCTTGAACCTCGCTACTAGGAGGACATGATCTGAAGGGACATCGGCTCCAGGAAAAGTTTTGACTGCCTGTACTGAGTTTCGGTAACGTTCATTGATGGTGATATAGTCAATCTGATTTCTGACAGGTTTCTCTGGACTATCTGATGGATGTTTCCAAGTATAGAGCCTTCTCTTCGGGAGTTTGTAGAAGGTGTTCATAATACACAAATTATTATCCCTGCAGAATTCAACAAATCGGTCTCCTCTCTCATTACGTATACCGAGTCCAAAGTCACCTACGACCTTATCCTCTCTACCTTGGCCAACTTTGGCGTTGAGGTCTCCCATAATAATGGTAATATCTTTCTTCTTGATTTTGTCAGTGACGCTCTTGATGGTATCGTAGAATTTTTCAATTTCCTCCTCGTCACTGACTGAGGTTGGTGCATATACTTGAATAAGGTTGATGTCAACAGGTCTCGAGTTCAGTTGTAACATAATGACCCTATCAGAAACGTAACACACGGATTTAACGCACTTCTCGACATGTTTGGAAACTATAAAAGCAACACCATTGATATGATAGTTACTGTCCTCTCCTGAGTAGTACACAGTATGTTCTTCTATCTTGCATTTACCGGAGTTTGGCCAGCGCATTTCACTAACCCCTAGGATCGGGATATCGAGTCTTTTCATCTCCTGTATTGTGTTATGGGTTTTTCCCGCTTCGTATAGACTACGTAGGTTCCAAGTACCTATCTTAAGTTTGGATTTACGGTCAATTGTGGCCGAACGGGAGATTCTTCGCACCCCTGCCCCATTTAAGGGGCGCCCGTACTCGGGGCCGTTTTTTAATTCTTCAGCCATAATGATAATCCTGGGGAAAGGTCTCATACATCAGGTAGTTTCCCGTTGCTTTCCTGATGCGTAAGTTCAGCCGCCCACTATGGATCAGACGCTGTTGGCAGCCGCCCACTCTGGGTCAGACGCTGCACCGTTGTGGTCTTTCTTAACTTCACCTTCGTCACTTCGAGACCTTACCGGCAAGGGTGGCCCTACCAGTAGCTACGCTACCGCCGGCATCGCTCCCTGGACATTGAAAGTTACTGAGCCCCACTCACCACGTCAAGGTGAAAGACCCCGTGGGGTAAGTAATAAATATTTGTTTTTATTTAATTCTGATAATTAAATAAAAACAAATATTTATTACTTTACTATCAGAATATAAATGAAAATAAAATAAAAAAGTCTTTGCCCCGACCCGGATTCGAACTCTGAATCATCGGTTCGTGGTCGGAAACTCGCACTGCGCTATGGAGACATGTTCGATTTATATTCAATACTAGAATTTAAAGGACTAATAAAAATATAGGATCTTCTTTCAATGCGCAGTAATGAACGCAACGTTTACCGGCAGCCAGACGGACCGCATGCTGTTCTAGAGAGCATACTAAAAGATATATCAAAGAGCCAGACGTCTTAAAATACTTGTTTTTCCGACGTTGCTAGCTCTGGTACTATACTGTTCACGTATGACCTCATAAAATTGTATGCAGTTGATGCATCTTACTGTATATTTTTTATTAAACTTAACTATTTTTACTTATTGTAAATTAGTTCATTTCAAAAACAAGAAAATGGAATTCATATCCATTAAGATTATGACAGAGATTCTTATAATTAAAAGTTCATTATTTAAATTGAGACAAAACTTTTAGACTTGAATGCACCACGAAATTTAATACAATTTCCCTCCACTACAACCCTAGATTTTAATTTTAAAAGAACACCCTGTATATTTTGTCGTATAGATCGAATGAACTTTCAATATTAGTATTTTAGTTTGCTGTTATAAAACCGGCAACTCCAATTTTATCTGTATCGCTAAGATTTTAGTAATTGAACTCGTATTTCATATAGTATAAGACTTTATTTATAAACATTAATTTATACCTTGGTTAATATTATTTTCAGACCGATCTTTTTGCTGTTGAAATCTACAATGGCCACATCTACGTCCACTTGGACCTAGGCACCGGACCCTCAAAACAAAGAGGTTCTAGAAGACGAATAGACGACGGTACCTGGCACGAAGTAATGTTCAGAAGAGCCGGACGGGAATCGAGGATTACAGTGGACGGATTCCACACGGACTTTAAAGCTATGGGTAAGAATGCAAGTAAGTAACAGAGAAATACTATACCTAATAACATTAAGTTAACTTAGTTTGGTTTCTGTGTTTGTCTTTTAGTTGGTTTTATTTTGATTTCCCTCTGACGTTACTCGAACTATCAACTCTGTGCTTTTCATCGAACACCTTTGTATTTGTTACACTAGCTTTACATGTTTTCTTTTCAGTTGTATATTTTTATGTATATCTTTGGCATTTATACTGTCTGTCCAACGAGTCAGGAAATATTTTACAGACAACATCCAAAAATGATTATAAAAAACATCCATTTTCAGTGTGAATTAAAATGACAGATAATAACTGTCACTGTCATGTGTCTTCTCGTCGGACAGACTTAACATACTTTACAGTATTAAGCAGAGAGAACACTAATAACTAAAGTGAGAGAGACCGATCAACGTTAATTTCTGAAGACTGTGTTAGTGGCGCGGCCTTTGGCGTCTAACCCGAACTATGAGCGCATTATCGATATAGTAGGTTGCATTCATACCTATATACTGGCGCCAAAAATTTAAAATTTGTATATTTGAACCGAATCTTAATCTTTCAAGTTTATAATAAGAAATATTCGTAGTGTTTATAGATTATTTTGTTGACAACGCAAATTTATTATTAGACTTTAAAGCATTAAAACCGATAAATAAAATACTGTGTAGGAACATAATAATTTATTTAACTCCATACTCCTTGCCATACTCCAACTCAAAGCTCCAATCTTCAGTATCTTTTTTATCTAACTTGGTTGGGAGTGAACAGGGAAGCACGGTTGGGAGCTCGCACAGAGTATCAGTAGGTATCCCGTAGGTATTCAATGCTTTTGATAGTCTTTATTCTATAACAAGAACCTAGCAGTTGAAGAAAATAATTTGTATTACTGGAAATAATGCCAGGTATAATACCTAGTCGTTCCATAGGTATCAGAAAAGAATGTGATGTTTTAAATTAAAAAAATTAAATTAGCAATGTACGATTATTCTGTGCACTCACTATTACTATTAGGTATGTTAAAATAATTACCGAGATAAAACTTACCTTTAAAGGAAACGTTTTGTCTGGGTCTCAACCACAAAACAAAAATTACAAAAATGCCGAATAATCGTGGAATCTGAAATAATCAATAATGATAATAATCTTCTCTTCTGACAAGCTAAAAGAACAGGCACATTCAGTCAAAAACAATTTATTACTCCGATTTGCTCCGATTATCAACAGATTTTGGCTATCTCCTTCTAGAACTAAGAAATAGAAAAAGCTACTGACAATCTAATTAATCCTGTCAAATGTTTAACTTGCAAAGTTGAAAACTTCCTTTTTTGACCGCCTAAACGCTATGCGCGTCTGGGATGCGCGGTGACAAAATAAACTTGTCTACGAAATGCCCTATTCCACAAGCCCTCTCACTTTACTTATTAGTTTCTCTCTGGTATTAAGAGATAAATATATTTACCCTAAACCTATGGTTGAAATTTGATTGTTGAATTATTGTATCTAGTAAGGAATTAACACCTTCTCCTGTGTATGTGTATGTTAGAGTATAACTCAATACTGTCAGAGCCGTGCAACAAATTGCAGTGATAGATTTTTGGCCAAAGTAGCCATTATAAAAATAAACAATTTAAATAAAATAAAGGTACATACAGTGTGTTAGAAAAAAATATATACCTAGATAAAATAATGAATACTTATTAACTTTATTGTAGGTAAATTAAATAAAAATAACAAGTTATAAATTTAAATAAAGTCCATAAACTAATGTCGATTTTGAAAATAGCTACTAACTGTCACTAGCAAATTGCCATGGCGACACCAGCCATCAGATCACAAGCCGTTTTATTGAAAAATCGCTTTTTATTCAAAATCTGAGCCAGATAGGTATAGGAAACCCTAATTTAGTTTGAAAGAGTATTTAAATCTGATTGGACTTATTTTAAAAAATACATAGTGTTGTATTTAAAATAACGAAGTTTTTATGTAAAACAAATATTTAAAATAGACCAACAATTTTTGATACCCCTGTATACATTTAAGAAAGCAATACATTTTTTCAAGAAAGTTTATTTATCCGGCTTCAAAGTCAGCACAAGAATTAAGTCTGAAAAGTAATGTACAGGGTGGTGACAAATTTTTTTTTATTTTAACATGCATATTTAAATATTTTTAAATATCTCAACAACCAAAGCATTTAAACATATTAAACCCTTATAATGAATGCCTTATTTTATGCACAAGAATCCAAAAATGGAATAAAATACCGGGTGTTCCATAAGAAAAAATATAACTTTGGTATGGATCTTAGTTCTGATACACCCTGTACATTTGAAAATAATTTTAAATTATGCACATTGCCTCTCTGCATATTATACCCATAATTTTTTTTGTATCTACATCTTTCCGTTTTCGTATAATCAAAAAATCAAATGAGGCGAATGGGGTGCGCTACCCTGTATAACTTAGCCTCTAGCTTTCTAAATTATGTAAATCAAACATTAAATGTGTAAATAGCCCTACTTATTTTATTATAATGGATTTTTGCATAAAGGCACCTGCTTCATCTGTCTAAATTATTTTCAGCGTTACAGTATTGCTAGGCTAGTCAGAGGTAGCATCTATATTATTTTAAATGGAACACCTGATATATTATTACAATTTGCAAAACTACTTTCATATCTCATATTTTTTTTTATTATACTGATCTATACATATCTCTTACTTTTACTTTTTCGTATCCGGACCATATAGGTGCATAATGTACAATTATAATTTAAAATTCTTTAGCCCAGTACCGGGCGACGTCTAAAGCATTTTCATCGGCGTTCCATAAATTTTCAAGGGTACATGTATGAGGGCATCTTATGCATGACAGCAGATGCTCCATATTTTGGATTTCGCCGCATTCACATTTTGTGTCTTCATCCGTGATAAGTCCCCATTTCGCTTTGTTGGTTTTAACAGGCGCTACTCCTGTTCTGATGCGGTTTAGGGACTTCCACGTGACCCAATCAAGATGTTGGCCTGCAGAATCTTCTTCTCTAAGAGGATAATCAAGCGGTGGATCTTCTTGAACAGTCTTTAAAAAGTTTTTCCGAGATCGGAGTCTGCTTGATCCTTGGAACTCGCCAAAAAGCGGATGGCGCTCGTCGAACATCTGTTTAAACTTTTCAGTGTGTTCAGCCGCTTTGCGCCGCTGTGAGGGAGCTGCAAATCCGGAGGCTCTGTAAAGTTGAAATAAGCTTGTTGCTTTCATACACCCTGTTGTTATTCGGCACGTTTCATTTAAAGCAACATCAACTTGTTTGGCATGGCTCGATCTATTCCATACAGGACAGGCATATTCTCCCGTTGAAAAACATAAAGCCCGTGCAGTTGTTTTTAAGACAGATGGATTTGCGCCCCACTTGCTTCCAGTTAGCCTTCTCAAAATGTTATTTCTAGCGCTGACTTTCTGGCGAGTTTTCTGACAGTGGTACCTATATGTCAAGGTCCTGTCTAGTATCACTCCGAGATACTTCGGCTTTTCTGTATGCTCCAGCAAACTACCTCTCCACAAGATATTAAGCTTTGTTGCAGCGTCTCTATTGCGTAGGTGGAAAGCGGAAACCTGCGTCTTGGAAGGGTTGGGTTTAAGTGAGTTCCGGTCGTAGTAACTAGCCATTGTGTTAAGTGCGCCTTCCAGTTTTTGTTCGACGCTGTGAAAGCTGGTATCTTGTACAGCTATTGCCAGGTCGTCAGCATAAAGAAAATGTTTTGAGTAGGCAGGGAGAGGTTGATCGTTGGTATATATATTAAATAGCATTGGCGCCAGGACGCTTCCTTGGGGCAGCCCATTCCTTTGAGTTCTCCATCTGCTCTTACCATTGTTCAGAGTGACACAAAAGCGTCGGTTCTGCATCATTGTCTCGATCACTTTTACCAGGTTATAATCCTTAATTGTAGCATATATTTTAGTTAGGAGGTGTTTATGAATGATGGTATCATATGCGGCGGTTAAATCGACAAGAGCGACTCCAGTGATCAGCTTCTCCTCGTATCCCCTCTCGATATGCTCTGTAAGAGCCAAGACCTGCCCAGTGCATGATTTTCCCGGCCTAAAGCCCGCTTGCTGAGGAATAAGTTTCGATTCTACGATTTTCTCCATGCGTCTGAGAATCATTCGCTCGTAAACTTTGTACAAATGACACAACAGGGAGATCGGTCTGTAGCTACTGGCCAGTCCTGAATCTTTAGCCGGTTTCAGCAGTGCTACAACTTTAGATTTTCGCCAAGATTTCGGGATTTTGTGGCTGTCGGTACATTCTTGAAAAAAATTTCAAAACCCACATTTACATACATATCTCTAATAGTTTTTGAGGTAAAAAAACATGTCTTAAATTGACATAAATATGATTTTGAATAAGCATTTGTTAAATCAAGATAATTTTTTGACAATTTTACATATGATTTATTTTTAATCTTGAAATCTATTAGAGATTAATAGAGAATAGGTTAGTATGTTACAGATATTATGAGTTATGAATGTATTTTCGAAATATACCGGATGTTCTATTTAAAATAACAATGATGCTACTACTTTTCAAATAATGCGGCAACATTGTAACGCTGAAAATATGTTAGAAAGACCTTTTTTCAATTAAGATTTTCATGGGTACAAAAAAATATACTGTTGTAGTTCGCTACACAAAAGTTTTGTTACGGGAAAAAGGGCTAAATAAAAATGCTCTTAAAAACGAGAAAACAAAAGCCCTGCATTTTTATCAAAATAAAGTATAATGTTTCGGACGCATGCCATTTATTTTTAGATATTTTCGTTTTCTTGGGTAATGTTTACTGAATACAATATTAAATTCTATATTTTATGTCGTACCCAAATAAAAAAAGCAGAAACACGAGCCTTTAACAGAGTTTTCAGACTTTTTTAAAGTAAACAAATAAATAAAACAATATTGTTAGGGCATTGGTATTATTAGATATAAATTTTTAAGCTTTAGTCTAAAAAAATTGGATTTTTTACAATATGCTTAAATAAGAAAAATTCGATAAGGTTGTTTTTTCCATTCAAAAAATTTAAACAACCTATCCATTTACATTTAGTGCATATCAATTTTCAGCAATCGTGTAACTTTTTTATTTATAAAGATTTTCACATACTGTCTGCGAAGAAAATATAGCAGAAATATTAAGAAAGGTTTGGAAAAAACTACAATCAATTGTTTCTAATAGATTTCGAGATATCGATTTTTGAATTCAAAATTCTAATAGCGCGACCACTCTCGAACGCCATCTCAATTCCACATTTTTTTACCAAAAATGTAAGTGCTTCTAACTTGCACTTAGAAATTTTCAAGCTTTAGAGAAAATTACAACGTTAATAAATAAACAAATAAAGTGTCACGAGACGTAATTAAATCGTGAAGCTGAACGCATGATGTAGACCTCTCCCTAGAATTTTAAGTACTGACAGAGGTACTCATTGGGTTGACCGGTCGACTACGACAAATCTGCTATATCCCCTTTCATGTCTCTTAGAAATGTGCACAGTTCCTCGGTTTATTTCATACGTTTGGCAACCTGTTACTGTTCTCTTTTTGTTCAGTACATTATAAACGTATTGTACTCTTCTTACATGCGGAAATCTCGACCCAAGACTAACCTTTGACAGCCCCTAGTATATTTTTTTTACACAGGCTCTACAGTTAACACTTTCCGAATTACAGCTGAGAGCTATTCTTAGCGGAATACCCGCTACAATATATTCGTTTTAACCAATACCAAAACACCATTCTCTATCCACCTTAATTTATTTTCCCCGAAAACATGTTAACCCGTTGTTTCCACTTTTTCCCAGAAGGATCGGCAACGCTGGAGCTAGAAAGCAACCTGTACATCGGCGGCTTGGGTCCGCCCTTTTCCGAAATCATGGTTCCGGCCGGACTCTGGACTGCGGTGTTGCAACAAGGCTTCGTCGGATGTTTCAAGGACCTCGTCATGAATAATGAACCGGTCGACGTGGCCGGTTTTGCCAGAGAGCAGGATTCAGGTAAGAGTTTTATTTCTTTGATGAATTTATATTATAAGTAGCTGATGGATACAATAACACTAGACTGCAAAAAGGAATCGCAAGCCCCCAAAAGAATCTTGAAAATGCTATCTAATCTGGGGACAAAAGAAATTCTTTTTTGATTTTAGCCTCACTAAAGCAAGGAAATTTAGTATTAACTGCGTGTTTTAAATAATCTATTGTATTGCGTTCTACATTTGCTTTATCTCTCTTACTCACTTGCCATCACTCTAATCTCCATGGGTTCGACAAATGTATAATATATTCTTTCTTTTTTTTTTGTTCTTATTCCAATTGTATACCTCGTTGTTTATCCTTTGTCAGTCTGTTGTATACATATATATGTATGAGGCCTCAGGTTGCAAAACCCACCTGATCCATCGATAATCGGATGTATCACTTACATCTCGTCTCACGTTGATGTTATTAATTTTCTACACATTGTTTAGTCTCTGTCTGTTAGTTCCTTCTCTAGTTTTCTGTACTGAGTGTCCCATTTTCCTGCAAATTAAAATATGCAAACAAGTTAAACTTGCTAAATAAAATTGTATCTAAGAGCTTGAACATTTTCTTTTAAAGAAGTTTGGATGCACATTTTATAGCGATGAATTATTTACAAGAAAAGGTTTTATAATTTTCAAAGCTTTCTTTATTTTAATACATTGCGATCTAGTAAAATCTTCATACTAAATTAATTTTAGATGCATTTATAAAATGAATCGTGGAAGTATTTTTGAATTATATAATGTTTATATTGTTTATAGACATTTTAATAAATCCTTTTAAGAACTTGCTTTTAATTTAATTTTGCTTTCCACTTTAAGAAAGTGCTTTTAAATCAACATGATTACTACAATGAATAAACAATGAAATATCAGGTAAATTTCATCAATAAAAACCTTAAAAAATATTGTTTTGCCAGTAATATTATAGAACTATTTTTTTGTCTCTTAAACGGTCGTTTGCTAATACAGAACAGAAAACGATTGATGTCATAGAAAACTTGCCGTTACGCAATTTATAATTCATGTTTTCCCCTTCATATAGGCCAAGTTAAAATGTAATTTTTACATCGGAAAATGTGCCTTGTTATGTGATCGATTCCGTGTCATTTAAAAAAAAAATGTTTGATGCAGCATTGCCAACTTTTATTGATGGGTTATAACAGCCATCTAAGAACTAAAGTATAACAGCAGAACTCATTGTCAGGACTTTTTTAAAAAATTAAAAATATTAACTCTTCCTTCCTTATTTATATTTGAATCCGTTTGCCTAATACGTAAGCATGTATCAGCTTCTCAATAAAGGCCATCTCACACTTATCCACTCAGGAACGCGGAGCAAGATCTTTATCTACCTACCCCATGCTCAGAGTTAGTTAAAAGTTCAATATTATACAACTCGAAAAAAATGCACAATCATGTGCCATTTGAAATCAAATCCATAACATCATTTTCTTCATTTCGCAAAGCATTGAACTCTTATTTACTAGACAAGGCTTACTACGCTGTAAATGACTTATATTTTGATAATAGAATTTGATCTTGTAAACACTGGTCTAATGTTTGTTATTGCTACATTTACAAATGACATCGAAATAAATTTATTTAGAGGTCATTGATATTTACTATAAACTAACTAAATCTTTTTGAATATTATTTTTATTTTTTTATTTTTTGACATTGTAAACATTTATAAATGTTAATTTTAAACAATAAGACTGACAATGTTATTTGTATAATGTTTTGTATTATCTTTTGTTTGTTTGTTTGTGTACCTTGTTTGTTTACTTTGTTTGTTTAGTTTACCTTTGCCTACAAATTGTAAAAATTTTTTGACAATAAAGGCATTTATTTATTTATTATTTATATTTATAGTAGAATAAGATTTTTTTGTGTTGCCAATTGATATTGTGTATGGAAAATAGCTAGGGTCTAAAGATAATGTAATCGCAAAACTTTATCTTAAAATTGTGTGTTCAAAATATGCCGAAGCATCTAAACAGTCGAACCCATAGACTTAAAATAAAATATAGACTACACTATTTACACCTCAACGCGGACAAACAACCTTTTTTGTACACATGTTTACTTCTGGGTACAGTCGACCGAGCCTTCCTTATTCAGCCTATGTTGTCACGTCTTTAATATTATCAATATTTTTTTCTTGTTATACACATATATTGAGATATTAATACTACAGTTTAATAAAGTAGGTTTTAATATTCCATAGATGTCTTAAATGGTCCTTATACTCCTAAATTATAAGTGGGATACTGTTTAATAAGGATAAGTTCTTTACAATATGACAACACCGATTAGAGGCGAGCGAGCCTATTCATTCATTTATTACCTTGTAGTACGCGTCGCACGTGTGCGGTAAAGCTTTGTTGCCGCTATCTCCCCGGCTGTATTAACGCATTTTCTTAGCGTGTAGTCATTAAGTGTTTATTTTATCGACTTTTTCTGTTCAAGAACTATAAAATATGGTTCGCCAGTGCCAAATTTGCAAGAAATTTGACTTAAATAATCCATTTAAGTCTTGAAACGACTTTTGACCAGTAGGCAACTCTCAATTTACCCATTGGGAGTCAGTGGCGTTGTTGTAGAAAGGCGCTTATTTAGATAATATTTTAGTAAAATGTAAAATCTGAATTTTTTCTCTCTTACATTACATTATTTACTTACTTACATTGTAACAAAATCATAATTATAACCCTGTTAATAATTAATAATGTTTTTATTAAAAATATATTCCGGTTTATTCTAAAATTATATTCAGAATCTAAAATAACATACAAGAATTTTAAAATGATATTACATTATGAAACAATATTTTTTAATATACCGGGTCGTCTCAAAAGTGGCTCACCCCTATAACTTTTTTATTTTTTCAGATAAAAAAACAGATTTGTATGTTAGTAGGTATATGACATAAATTAGGATTTATTGACGTATTCAATTGTTTTTGGTCTCTTCCTGTTTCACCGAAATGATTACATCTTTTGATTTTTAAAGGCACCCTCGGTATATTGCTACTTTATTCGATAAAAAATGACACTCTGAATAGAATGACATATCATATGTCAACTTTTGACATTGTCGCTTAAAAACATATCCTATTTTAAATTTCAATCCAGAGTGCCATGGTGTTGTTAAAAACACTAAGTTTTAATCAAGGAGCCTTGGAAAAATAGTTTTGATCGTCTAATAGGTTTCGTGTCTTGTCTAGGCCGGTTAAAAGATGTACAAATCGTATTTTTAATCATACATATGTCAATTTTTTCAAATGGAACAAGGGTGACTCATTAGCATATTTGGAAAAAGCATTTTTTTATGAATATATTGATACCACACACTTGGCATTTCGAGTCAAATTGTCGTTATGAACCGCGTGTTACAATTACAATTAAACCATATGCGAAAATGTCAAAAGTTAACATATTATATGTCATTATTCAGAGTGTCATTTTCTATCGAATAAAGTAGAAATATACCGAGGGTGCCGTTTAAAAATTAAAAGTTATAGTCATTTCCGGTGAAACAAGAAGTGACCAAAAACAATTGAATGCGTCAATCAATCCTAATTTATGTCATATACTAACATGCTAAATCTTGTTTTTTTATTTGAAAATATAAAAAAATTATGGGGATGAGCCACTTTTGGGACGCACCCGGTATAATAAAGACAGTACCGAGTTAAATAAATGTAGTTTTCATTTTATCCACTTCCTATCATCTTCCTTGCTTTAATGGAACAGATTTATGTTTTCTCTAATTTACATAAGACATCACTTAACCAGAAAAAAATTACAACAATCATATTTTTTTTTCTCTCCTGTCGCCGATTCTATTATATCTGTGGAATAGATCCTGTTTTGATTAATATTAGGGGTTGTAAATGTTTGACTAAAATTAATAATTTATTATTAATTTCAAAAATTACATAATTTCGATTATAAAATTTCTTCTCTAACGTGTATTTTATTATTTTTATCCTTTTTGGACTCTAAGACGTTTTTTCTAAACTTTTATTTAAAAAACCTGTCCTAAATCTTAATAAAATATAAAAAAGTTTAAATACGATATATTTTTAATTTAATTATAGCTTCATTAAAATAAAAAAATTACCCGGCTATGAGACGGAGAGTTCAGGTGTACTTGAGAAACGAAAGACAGTGTTGTGTTTCTCGGCAGAGTCGTCAGGGAACGACCGTTACGACAGAGACAACCTATCTATCGCTCGTGTCGCACTCGTTATAACCTAAAACAATAACACAACAATAACAAGATATTGTCTGACCGCATGTTCCAGCTATTTATGAATGAGATGCTCAGTTTATATTTTATTTTAAGTCTATGGTCGAACCAAAGAGCTTGTAGCTTCCCTGATAAACATTTTGAACGAGAACGTGACAATAACGGTCGTTTTTTACACTTGACTGCAGTCAGAGAAGTAAGTTTGATTGATAAGCACGCACATTCTACCACTTTCATAGTTAGTTTTTATTAAATTCTGTGATTATTAGTTTGTGCATTAAAATAACCCTCTTACTTGTTATTACCTCTTATGGCGTTGTAAGATGTACATCAATAAATAAATAAATAACCCATAATAACGCTTAGAATAATCTTCATAATGGACTAGATTTTGCCAATATGTAATAAGTAAAATAACCTATAATACGAATAAATCAATTAGTTACTAAAATATTAATTATTAAATTAAAAATAAAACGTAAAACTCTTTAAAAAATGATATAGTAAACATATTGTTTGTCAATTTTAAATTATGATTCATCTCATAAATCCATCACAATCTGGTAGCGCTGTCGCCATCGCTTGTCACTCAAAGTTGATCACGTGCATCGGAAATTGTTTTGTGATTACCATACAAAATATAGTACTGAATATTATCGAAAAAAAAACGGCGTCAGCGATGGCTATGAAATAATAAATAATGAAATGTAAAATTATATA